GAAGTTACATGTCCAAAGAAGTCCAAAGTGTTGGAACAGTGTAACTAACATACTGTGTGAGTTGTGGAAGAAGTTAAGAGTGGGGAGGGGGGCACAAGTTCAAGGTTGGGGAGGGGGGCACAAGTTCAAGGTTAGAGTGCTCCATATACTAAGTTTTTTGGCGGGAAAACTTAATCCAATTAATTAACCAGGTGAGGGTGCCAATTAGGTGGGGTTTTTTTGGCGGGAAACTTGAACAGATTTTTTCGCAGAAAACTTTCAATAAACCACATGTCCAAAGAAGTGTAATTGGGGCAATTTGGCATTCTCAGCGGCACGATACGAAGAGTTTTTCAGTGACGCCTACCGTGGGATTAAAGTTAAAGGTTTTAGTGACAACTTGGGGGCAATTTGGCATTTGCAACAGCACGATACAAAGAATTTTCCAGTGACGCCTAACGTGGCATTAAAGTTAAAGGTTAAGGTGACAATTTTGGGGCAATTTGGCATTTTCAACGGCACGATAAGAATTTTTCGGTGACGCCTAACGTGGGATTTAAGTCAAAGGTTTGGGTGACAATTTGGGGGCAATTTGGCATTTGCAACAGCACCATACAAAGAATTTTCCAGTGACGCCTAACGTGGGATTAAAGTTAAAGGTTTGAGTGACAACTTGGGGGCAATTTGGCATTTTCAACAGCACGATACGAAGAATTTTTCAGTGATACCTAATGTGGGGTTAAAGTTGCCAGTTAAAGTTAAAGGGCTCTTCAATGAAAAAAGGCATAGACTGAACTTGCCAAAAGAGAGAAATGCGAGTGCAAGTGTGTGTACCTGTCTCGTGTCAATAAAGAAACCATACTCACACCTCCCCATCTTCTTTCACACAGCTCTGTCCATAAAGGTTTGGTTCTTCCTTCCGCTCAGACCAGGCTTCGGGTCCCCATCTCGAAAATGGGAGAAACAAAAGTCAGTGTATAGAAAACAGCAATTGGCCTAGCAAGAAATTATGTCACACAACATACAACTTTGTATAAACCACATTCAACTTTAGTCCCAACATCAAAACCCCAATTTTACTTGACCTGCCTGCCAAAAGTTATGAACATCGAACCACGCCTAATTATTGTTATGCCGCTAAATCCACAGTCTCCCACAAAAAACAGACCAATTCCATAGTCTTTTTGACGAAGACAAATACACATAAGTAACAATTTCAATGGACTTTCTTGGCAAAACACTGCTGGGTTGGGGATGTACCTCAACATGGCGGCGCACGGGGGGCAAGGGTGATGACGTCATGTGAATACGTCCTATTGAATTCTTCCTTACATGAGGAAAAAGGTTTCTATAGTGATTTGTTTATTGAATTGTGTACTTGTATTAAAAACTACACTTTCACATAACAAATACATACTAGTAAGCCACAAAAATGGCGGTCACAGTTGCGTACAATTAAACAAGAGAGAGACAAAGTACTAAAACATACTATAAATGATACAATAAGGACCAAGATTGCATACTAGTTGATCCTCAAAATCAAATCTGCACAAGCACACTGTGACAGTGACTGCTTCATACAATTATATATCAATAACTGATATACTTTGGCAATTAAGTATAAAATCCAGTAAAATCGTGGGGTCGTGTGGCGCAGCGATAGCGCGTTCGGCTCAGGACCTAGAGGTCCCGAGTTCGATCCCCACCCATGTCACCGATCTTGTGCCCTTGGGAAAGGCACTTTACACGACTTTCCTCACTTCACTCAGGTGTAAATGAGTACCTAGCTTCGGTTAGGGACGTCCCTCGGATAGGACGTTAAATGGAGGTCCCGTGTTTGGGGAGAGCCACACCTCGAGCACGCTAAAGAACCCGCCACACTTATCGAAAAGAGTAGGGGATCTTCCCGGTGTGAGTGGATCAAAAAACATTACAGTCTTGTGTACGTCTTCTACGTACCGTGCTTGGAGTCCTCAGCCTATTGAGGTTAAGCACGTAATATGGAAGAAGAAGAAGAAGAAATACCGATGTTACAACCTCTGATTCAAAAGCAAGGAAAAAACAGCAACAAAACCGAAATTAAACTACATGTATTTTCACTTGTGCACAGATTTAATTTCGGGTGCTCAGAAGTAAATAACATATGCACCAAGTTAATTATAATAGCCCTGGGAAGTCTTGTTTATATTTACTCGAATTTTTTGGCGGGAACGTTGAGTGGATTTAATTATGCACACGTGCGGTACGTTCCAAAAGGTGTTCCACTGGGCCAAACTGTGGAAATTTCCAACAAAAAACGTGTTTGTAAGAGTTTTAGCAAACAAATTTGCTCCTAGCTTTTTTCAATGCCACTCAACGCAGAAGAAATATATTCAGTGTTCCCCAAAACCACGAGACAACCACGAAGTACAAAATGTGTGCGACATATCGTTCCACAAAACGCAAATTTCTACGGAGTATAACGGATAACATAACGAATTATAACGTGGTCTGTTGCCACAGGTTTGTTGGAAGTACAGACATGTACATTAAAGGAGATAGTTTGTTGGCTTACCTAGCAAGAACGAATCTTTTTCAGCTAGCACCACGCCGCCATGGTAGTCGCCATTTTCGCTTCTTCTCCTCGCGAACGGCTTGCCCTGCCAGGAAATACCAATTTTCTCCCTCAAACATCCAAAGAATGGTACAAATCCGACCTGGAAACGTTCAGACGATATACTGTACACTTTAGACGGATAATTTGCGGACAAAAAGCCGAAAATTTACCCCAAAACTGGCAAAAGTTGGAGAGAATGAAAGCACACCACGCCACGCGACAACGTGCGGCACACTGCTGCAGCTGGTCGAACGGACCGTACCATGTGAGATAATTACATAGGGGTGCGAAAGATATTGAGATTAATCATTATTGCTTTTGATAATTATCCATCACAATTCCGTCATCAATCAAAGATAATTATTCTTACCGCACAATTTTCGACTTATTTTCTGTGCCAAACCTAATGATTCTGATACCTTCTGCCACAGCAAGTGTTAATAATAACTTAATATCCCCAAGCTTGTGGATGCCCCCCCCATTTGTTAATGGACATTACCAGTGAGGACCTCTCCTTGGTGCTGAACTCACCATCAGTTCCATGTATTAAGTATTGCAGTTGTGGCCGCAATACTGTACTACAAGACGCTTTGTCTGACACAACAGTACACCCACGGAAAAGCGAGGGATTGATGTATTTTAGTACATATATACAGTATATAGTACATCGAAGCCTGTATATCAACAAGATCTTTATTTCATCAAGTCACATACATTTTCTGAGGATTAAGAAAAAGTAACAATGGGGTTTACGGAAAAACCTGGGTGCCTGCCAGGCCAGGCTACCACAATATCAGGTATAATTTCTTGCTTAACAAGGTTTATAATGTAAAATGCCATTGTGTAGTTAGACGTTTTGTTTCACAGAACACCCAGCGAGGGATTGACGTGTTTTAGTACATATATATACAGTATATTGTTCATAGAAGCCTGTATATCAACAGGATCTCTATTTCATCAACATCTTTTATTCACATATATTTTCTGAGGATGTCAGAAGAAACAAAAACAGTAGACAAGTGTCTCTATTTAGGCCAGACCAAGTTACTGCGATTGAGTTGAAAATATTCAAAAAATTCCTCAAATGCATTCCCTAGGGAAATAGGTTTTGTCAACTTTTGATAACCCAAGAATGGCTGGATGGATTGGTTTCATACTTGGTGCCTCAGTAGGGAGTGAATGACTACATTTTGGGCACCCTAGTTGCTTCCCTTGGTACTGCAGCAGAACTTCCAGTTTTGCTATCTCGCGATCTGGACATGCTAAGGTCATGAATTTTAGATGGCAGGTAGCTCTTGTATTTGGGAAGAACAGGCACTTAGTGATAAAGGCCCTCACTGATAAATGCCTGAACCGATAATGCTTGATTGTGTGTGTGTGTGTTTGTTATACAATATTCCCACTATCAAGGGAAAGAAGTTAAATACAGAGTCTAGACAAAAGTAATACTAGTATTTTAAATTGATCAAAAACTGAACTTCTCAACATTTGTGACAACTCTTTATTTCTTACAAAAACCCAGCAGTAGTTTCTGCCATATAGCCCTGTTCGATAACATTTTCATGAATAACATTTCAAAGGTTAGAATGCTGATATAAGCCAATATTTCTGCAATTTTGTACAATTCTTAATTCCACTATCCTTCTGCTACATTTATGTGTACAAGAATTCTTTAATACATGTCACAAGTACATAATGTCAAAGTAAGAATGAAAGATTGGGTGACATCTTCTGATGACAATGAAAATCTTCTATGGCAATATATTACATATCAGGGCACAAAATACCTACACCCCTCAGAATTTAGGAAGTAGGGATCATACTAAAATTGTTGCCATTATTTCTTCCATACTCAATAGTTACAGGTAACAGTCAATGCAGATAATCAAACCCAGTACATGGACCAGTACAGGTTAGGTGCAGGCAGACATCAGAAATACCTGCACAGCTCCAATTTTACCTGCACTAAATAACCTGCATATACCCAGTACATGGACCAGTGCAGGTTAGGTGCAGGTAGCCATCAGAAATATCTGCATAGCCCCAATTTTACCTGCACTAAATAACCTGCATATACCCAGTACATGGACCAGTACAGGTTAGGTGCAAGCAGACATCAAAAATACCTGCACAGCTCCAACTGCATGCATATGCTGGTGGTACATGTGTTTTGAGCCTTGTATGTAGATATTTGATTAACTTGCAAGTTTTTCAGTAAAATATGTCACTGCTGTATTAATTTTCACCAAAAGTCGAATATTCAGGACAGTTCTTTGAGGGTTGTATGAGGATCAAAATTTAACTTGCTGTATTTAGGGGAAAATATATAATACACAAGAAGCTGGAACAATTTGATATCTATCCTGAAGTGATGAGTTACAGAACTAGGCACATAAAATTGCAAAATGTACCTTTTGTATAATTCTACTCTAAATTTCTATTCTTATCCCTCCAACAATTGGTGTACAAATCTGGCACACTCTCCCACTTTCGGTGCCTCTGTGATTCCCCTTTTCCTGGCCACAACGGGAACCAACTCCAGAGATCGTGCGAGCGCAATAGCGTTGTCATCGCCAACCATTAAGGAACCCAACGCCACGAGGAGACGAAAACAAGCCTCGTTGACCTGCTCTCTGTCCAGCAGTGTTGCCACGGCTGACAGACACTGAGATTTCCCCTCTATGTCCTCCGGATCCTGGATCACGGCCGCGTAGTTCAGCAGGATTGTCGCCATAGCGATACGGACGTTCTTGTTGGCACTGGCGCTGCAGTCTAAGGTTGTGGCCAGAATAGAGGCATGCTGGGATATGGCGAGACCCTTCCCCACAGGCTGGGCGAACATGTTGCACACGGCTCGCAGGGCGAGCATCTGATTGGCTGGCGGGGAGTCAGGTGAGAGGAAGGTGCGGAGGTGTTGGAGGAACTGCGGCCCGTCCTTGGAGTTGCAGAAGTGCTGGTTGACGTCGGGGTGGCGGAGGGCCAGCCGGAGGATGTCCAGAGCCGGGAACACAACGTCTGGGAAAAGAGGATGACAAAATGACATTAAGGAGAATCACTCAGCACAAAAGCTCAAAATAATATTTTTTCATGAAGCAAACTATACATAACTATCATAACTATATACAATTGTAAGTTATTAAATTAGATGTTTGCTTTTGTTTGCCTCTCAAAAGAACATTTTTCAGGTGCCAGGTTCTGAATCAACCATCATGCTCACTGTGTTATGAATGGCAGAATTTACTTGGCAGCAGAAATCAAGAACTCCAAAGATGATTTGCAAGATTCAATGTTCCCTAACATTAGAATTGTGTACACATGCATTTTTGGTCTAAACGTCTTCGTTAATTGAATCATACCTATCATGTTTTACTATTTTCAGGAACTCTTGTGTTTTAGTGTTATTGGTGTCATATGGTCTTAAAGCATAGCTTAAACTTAATTTGTGATGTTACCTTTGGGCCACTGCACGATCTTCCACAGAGTGTCCATCTGCATGGCCGTGGGCGCTGCTTGTTGCTGATTGGTCGTCACTGCCAGCAGCTGGTTGATCTGGTCCAAACCGGTTTCATCCAGTTGCATTTCTGCTGGCACCTGACTGTTGAACTCCTTAATCTTGCCTGGAATTATAAAAGTGAACCATGTAACAAATGAAATGAAAATATACAAAAAATATTAAACTTATAAGTTAAACTGCTTTTTCAGAAAATCCAGATCCTTCCTGGATACATAGTATTGTGGACAAAAATAAGCACAAAGTGCATTAATACAGATCAGAAATGACAGCAATCATATACACATGTATATCAGAAAGGATAGCAGCCTTCTCACATCAAACTCAAAACAGAAAAATTGCTTTTGTTGATAAATACATGTAGATATGCTGCATACAGAGAACAATATACATTCGTGTATTCTTGGATGTCTAAAATTACAAGTTCTATAACAACCTTCAGGGTTCTAGCTAGGATTTAATTTTAGCGTAGTGGCACTGGCCGCATGAAGAGGGAGCGAAGCAGAGTTTTTAAAAATTTGAGCTTAAAAAGAGGCCATTTCAGGGATACCCAAAGGGACAAAATGTGATTTCTAAGGTATGTACTACTGTATCCTTAATTGGTAATTTTTCACATTTGATCTGGCATTCTTGAACAAAGAAATACTGTCACCATGCCCCTATGCTGTATTGAAAATTAGCATATGGGGGTAAATTTATAGCGTAGTGGGTCAAAATTATAGCGTAGGGGAGGAAATTTTAGCATAGGGGGTCAAAATTATAGCGTAGGGGGCCCCTACGCTACTTTGCACTAGCTAGAACCCTGACCTTTGTGCGTAATAACCTTCTATGATGATGAACTACTAACCAAGGATAGCCTCAGGATTTGCCTGTTCAAACAGCAGAGGGGTGACCCTGGGGAAGTAGGGGTTGGAGGGCGGAGGCACTTGGGGTGGAGGGTTGTCCTGCATGTCTCTGGCAGCGTAGGATGGGATGTAACGACCACCTCCTGTATCGAACAAGAAGAATTTGAAACATTTTACATGTTACTATATGCTAAAAGGTTTTGCATCACCGAATGCCTGCTCTTGTAATTGTTGTAAAATATGTTTCAACTTTTTATTCAACACTTCATGGATTTTTATATTGATGTACATTGTAGATCTGACACCAATTCAGTCAATCGACTGACAGATTATTTGAGTTCTTAATAAACCAATCAATCGAGTCATCAGTAAAAGAAAAGGAAAAGTACATCGCGAAAGGACCTTGTCATCCATTCAGAAAAAGACACAATTGAATCCCTCTTTATAGCAATCTTCAAAATTCAAAGTTCAGATATTATTTCAGTACTGATGTATCTGACCTGTGAAGGGGTCACTGCCCAGTGTTGACCCCTGACCTTGCTGTGGTACATCAGCTGGTGCAGCTGACCCTGGGACGTAGCGGTTCGCACCTGGGATGGAAGAAAACAGCACATCGACAATGACATATCAGGTGAGATGCTGCAAAACTTATGACTGTCTCAATGCATAAGACAGTACCTTACCAGTATGGGATGTTAAAATGGGTACATACAGGATATTTTGTTGTAATAAGGGTGCAGGTCTAAGGGTTTATATCCCTTGAACAACCCAATGATTCCTTGATAACTTGGACTGGGGTGAAATAAATGGAATACTAGTATATTGGTAAATCCATACCCGCAGTGCATACCAGCATGGACTCCTAGAAATTAGTACATTGGTATAAACTTTGGGGGCTATAGTCTAGCAATGGTTTCCTACTGAGGAATCTAGTTGTCTCTGCAAAAGCTGAGGAAATGTCCATGTTTTATTAGTCTTTGTTAAAAAAATTTTTTTTAAGTGACAACACACACACCTGTGAAGGGATCTGCATACTGTTGTGTGTCGGGTGCAGGCCCGACTGTCATGCCCTTGGTGTTCTCTAAGATAAACTTGGCCACCTGGTCCAAGTACAGCTGACTTAACTCATTCTTCTCCAGAAAGTTGTGAGCTGCCAGCCAGGGGTCATCTGACAGGTTATAGGGTAGCTTCAGCTTGGGCCTGCCATCATCTAGGTCCACTGTGAACACGTGATCATACTCCTAGTAAGAGAAGAAGAAGTAAAAACATCTTTAAATTCATTTGATGAAATTAGAAATTAGAGTTTTCAAACTTGAAATTTCCCCTCACACATTCCTGCTCACCCCAAACCACTTCACGACATCATCACTCCAGTGAATCTCACACTCACTCTCAATATCCAGTTTAAACCTCTGTTGTTCCAGTATTTGAAAGGTTAGACATGCTTGCACACTGATGCTGAGGCTTGATGCCATTTGCCTCTATCCTGTGGGTTCATGTTAAGTAGTTTTAGGCGGTGGAAGTTGAAATGACTCAATTCCCCAGGACCCAATACAGACACACAAACTATCAATTACCATGACCAAAAAACAATACTTCCATTCCAGATTGAAAAGACTTCCAAATCACTAAGACTTTGAGATTTTGAAACTTTATGAGACTTACCTTCCCCTCATACCAGACCTTCTCTCCGGTGCCCCCTGACCCCTCGTCTGACCCCACCACATCCCCGATCTTAGTCCACTCCTGCTGGGCCATGCTCCACTGATACGCCTCCACAGTCATGCCAGACCTCACCAGCTTTGTCTGTCCTTCTTTCTTTCCTACACAGGACAAAACATTACAGAGATCACTTTGTTGGTGAAGGTTAGACATCCAGGTAATAAGATACGCCAAAGAACTCGAGCAAGTGGATATGATTTTGGAAACGAGTCAGACATTTCAGGTAGCATCTACTACATTTACACAATCCACTCCTTTTGGACTATGAAAAAATTTGTCCTCACTTATTTGGATATTGATCAATAGTTTGAGCCTATAAACCTGCTTTTCGAGAATTCTTCAGTGTCACTGATGAAAGGTAGTGGATGCTACCTGACACGTCACTTTTGGTATTTTTGCAGACGTACGAAAACAACTTTGGTACATATATGTAACAATGTGTCTAGAGCAGCTAGATTTCACCAAGTCTCTTCATCCTTTTTTTTAATTCCTCAGTTACTTTAATTTTAGATGTCCAAGTTACAGCAACTAGTTTGTCAGCTAAGTTGTTGGAATAACCTTTGCCCTACCTGGATTCTGTAGGTCCTCCTTGCCCGGCAGCTCATTAATATTAATGCCGTCCATGTCAGACGCTGCCTTGGCGGGGATGGTCGATGACGCCACCTGCTCCTCAAACTCTTTGATCTCCTCGGGACTGGCGTACCTCTCAGGAGCACAGGTGAACACCCTGGTCACATTGTCACTGTGTTTGAGGGACAAAAATGACTGATGATAATGTCCAGCTCTCTTCGCTAGGGGTAGCCTTTTGTAATACTACAGCCAGTGGCTAGTTGGGCAGGCCTTTTCTCTATATTTGTCAGAGCTAAACCAATAAAATACAATAGAAATAAGGACAAAATTTGGCATACACATTATGGTTTAATGTAGAGCCATACCAATTGAGGACAGCCTGAATTTGTGGCATTTTTAAAACTAAAAAGGCACATTTTTGGCACCTGTGCCAATTTTGTACAGGCATGTATTTTAGAAACTGCAATATAACACTGAATAAGTGATGACTTTTATTTTATTTTTCTTTAACAAAAAGTGCATTTTGGTCATGTTTTAAAAAAGATTTACTAGTGAGTAGTATATTCTTGGTTCCTAGACTTAGTACGTGATACACACATAGTCAAAGTCAAGATCAGAATTCTGTACTTTTACAAGACTTACCTGGCTCCTACAGCGATGTCACCATTACTTAAACATGCCACAGACCAGACAGACTGAGCCTGTAGAGTGATGGTCTGTATACACTCCCCACCCTTCCACACACGCACAGTCCGGTCCTCTCCTGATGTCACAAAGTCCTGACCGTTCGGCAACATGGCCAGGGAGTACACATAGTTGGTGTGGCCGTAGTAAACCTGGAGTGGACAAAAACATTCAAGTAACATGGGAACCAATAATGTTACATGTAATTCAGATTTACAATTGTTTGTGTACAATAGATTCTGAAATACTTGGACTTTTTGCCTTAACATCCGAGTCCGAGGCATAGTGACAACAATTCATAGTTGTCCTGGACTTTCCTTTGTGACCATTCTAAACCTAGCAGCAGATTTAGCATTCCAGAACTGATTTGGGTAAAGCTAGTGTCTGATTTAGATTCTTTTTTTTTTTTATAATATCAATGTAGCCAATTCAGCAGCTGATTTAGCTACAGGAAATTAAAGTTAGTGTCTGATTCAGATACTACTTTCTGATATCAATGTGCTATCATTTCAGCAGCCGATATAGGAGCTGCTTTGCCAATAGGAAAGTTAGCATCTGATTCAGATACATCTTTGCAATATCAATGTGCTACTAACCTGTGTACATTCTCCTGTTGTTAACCAGCGGCGGATAGACCCGTCATTACTGGCTGACAGAAACTCCACGTTGGAAACTACAGCTAGACTCCTCACACAGTCTTCATGTCCTGGAAAATATATCAAAAAACTTTTTTAAAACAAGCTATTGATGTTGAGAATACAAGATGACAACTTGTCCTCATGATTTCTTCAGAAAAACACAGAAGAAAGCAGAGTCAGGTACAGTGCAGATAATCATTGGACAAAAATAACACTTGTTCCAGAAGTAATGTGTGGCGGAAACGTGGACAAGTTCCAGTATACGTTCACATATTGACCAACAACATACGAGGATTCATTTCCTGAACTACATTGCTCATGTGACGACTGTTACTGCAAATACAACTTAGGAGTGGTCTCATTACCTTGAGGGTATCTATTGACTGTCTACAAGGTGAGATAGAAAGATAATTAATATTAATTTCAACAGTTATTGTTTACCGACCTGTGAAAGTCTGTTCACACCTCCCCGTCCGCCACATCTTGATGGTCTTGTCTGCGGAGCCCGTCAGCATGATCCCGTGTTCCGGCATGATGGCGACCGCCCACACGGCCGCCTCGTGTCCCGACAGAGTCATCATGCACCGGTCCTTAAATCAATCAATCAATCATCAATCAATCAGCCAACCAACCAATCAATCAGCAAACCAGCCAACTAAACAATCAATCAATCAAAACTGGTTTATTGGTAAAAAAAGGCGTTGCAGCCAAAGGCTGAATTATGCCTTCTGTACATTTCACATTACAAAGTGTTAACAGTATAATGTAAAAACATTAGTATATAACACATTTCTACTACCTTCAGCCACACGCGAGCAGTCTTGTCCCAGGAACCACTCAGGAGGGTCCCAAACTTTCCCGCTGCCAGAGAGCAAACTGCAACAAGAAGTCAGACATTTCAAACTTGTGAGAAGTAGATATACTATAATGTTTTGTCGGTGAAGGTTAGACATCCAGGTAAAAAGATACGGCTTACTTTTCGTCAGCTTTTCTGACAATTCTCCAGTGTCACTGACAAAAGGTAGTGGATGCTACCTGAAACGTCTGACCGTTTCCAAAATCATATCCAGTTGCTTGAGTAACTGTTTTTTGGCTTACCTGTGTTCTTATGTCCGGTAAGTTTGTAGACTGGTTCTGGGGACTCCAGACTGTACATGTGGATGTTGTGGTCGTTGCTACCGGTTACCACCAGTCCGTGAGGGTAGTCATCAGAAGGAGGCAGGAGGCAGACACTGGAGATGAAGTTACTGTGTCCTGTCATCACATGGGCCTCCATAAAGCTGTTATCTTCACTGAAACACAAGTCAGGAAGTTTCTGTTAAATCAAGGATGCTATATATATAAATGTCTTTGGTTAAATTATGCACCCAAAAGTGAAAATTTCTTACTGACAGGAGGTGCAGGTATATCATTCAAAATTTCAAATAATTTTTTTTTTCTTTTCACTTTAGATTTCTTTTGATAGTCAGTTAGAAATGTCAATAACTTGAGGTCTTAGTTTACAGGATCATCTCAGGGTTAGGGCGGGTCTGCCTGTCAATACTAGTACTAGTAGTGGAAAAATGTCCTATATACAGGCCAAGGCCATTATGTTATATTATATCCCTAACATATATCCCTTGGGATTTAAGGATGTGATGTTTTACTTCTAAAAATAGCATTGCTCATTCCAAGTTTCATTTTGCTACTACCAAAACATAACTATATCATAACGTTATATGATAGTATAATGTTTGTTCTTATCTTGTCAAAGTCTAACACAGCTATGATGGCAATCATGACATGCAAAGTTTGTCACAAATTAAGAGCACTGACAAAGATATAAGAAGAGCACTAGACAGAGGCCTGAACTGGATCAACTGTAACAGAAGCTAAAAACAGCTGTTTATCATACGTTAACATAAACAGTACTAATCCACCCTGTCGTATATGTACAGACAGGCATTCCCAAAGTTTCGCCCCCCTCCCCACTTCTCCGATGACAATGAGGAGGATACCGAAACTCTCAGAATGACGGTGCATTATCGGGGTATACGTACGAGTTTGGGGCCCACAGTCGCGTTGTTTGGTCTCTGGATGCCGTCACAACAGCGCCGTCGGGAAAGACAGCGGCAGCGACCGCCTGACGTCCATAGAATGTCCGATAAGCGAACATCTCAACTTGTACACGCCGGTTGTGACGCGCCGGATTGAGTACTTAGAATGCTCCATACAAAAAGTCGTAGTACGGTCACGATACGTCAAATGAGGCTGATTTATGTGTTCCCGTGATGTCAACGAGTCAGACCACCGTGTGTGGGTCAGTTGGAAATTCAAAAATCACTGGAAGACGAGATATGTCCCGTCAAAGTTGACCTGCTAAGTACTCATTTTGGCGTGGTTTTTCTGTGTTTTGCGGTCTGCATGGGGGCTTTCAGACTACCGCTGTCCAGTCTACTTCCGGGTCAAACCACTCCCCCTAACAGCTGCTAATACGCGTATGTGTGCTTATACTTGGACGGCGATTGCGTTCGATACGGATGTTCTGGCCAGTGTTATAACTAACAGTACGGCCCGGAGTCTCTTTTGTTATCACACATGCTTCCAAATGTTTCATAGAATAACTCGAACGGCCCCCGTTACACAAAAAGTGTAACGGTCGGGTTGGTACGTTGGGCAATACGGCATACACAGCGTAGTATTACTATATATTTTATTTTTTTATTGCAAGATAACATGTAAGCCTTACCTCTAATAGTTGTTCTATCAGGATCACTCAGTTTAACCATGCTAATTGTTTCTTCGAACTTCACGTTACACCCTATTCACCCTAACCATTCTGACCGGGACATATCATTCATGTTTCTAATGAAACATACCGTAACTTGTCTTACAGACAATCTGTTTTGCTGTGCGCACGTATGTAAGTTGTAATGTAGTTCATTTTCGTTCACGACAATTTCAGTTATGGGGTATTTGTAACTTTGGACTACATATATATCTTTAAATGGAACAATGCTAGAATGTCTACATACATGTAAAAATTGCTTGACAAATAAAGACGGTAGATTTTTCACCTGTGTCACTTGAATGATATAGCCCAGTGAACAAGAGAATTCTCACCTGTGTCATAGAAATGACATAGCCTTAACATGGCATATATATGTCACCTGAGCCATTGGAATGATATAGCCCTGAACAGCAGAAGTTCCACTTGTGTCATAGGAATGACATAGCCGGCAGATATTTTACCTGTGTCACAGGAATGACATAGCCCTAAGACGGCAGATATTTTACCTGTGTCACAGGAATGACATAGCCCTAAGACGGCAGATATTTTACCTGTGTCATAGGAATGACATAGCCCTAAGACGGCAGATATGTCATTCCAATAACCATCATGGAAATTCTGTTAGTGTTCAAGGCTATATCATTCCAATGACACAGGTGAAATACGAATGATATAGCGCCTTAGCCAACAGAATTTAAACCTTCTCTTGTAAGTTTAGCTTTGTTGGTAAAAGTCATTATGAAACAAGTTTGAACTGCTATTGCGGTGTCACGGGGTTTGCGGTATATCTTAACTTTCTGGGACCGTCCTCTTTAGATAGAGCAAGTCCGTATCCTGGATGCGCTCTAAGTGCGACGTCTTCTTGGTAGAGTAAGTCCGTATCGAGGATGAGCTCTGAGGTGCGATCTCTTTGGGATAGAGTAGGTCCGTATCCAGGATGCACTCTAAGTGCCGACCTGTCCTTCAAATTCTGTGCAGCCGACTATAACGTTACAGAACTTCGCGGGCGCCAATATTCGGGGGCACGTTCAACTTCGGCTGCACATCCTCCAGCGCACACCGGGGGACGAAAAAAACAACATTGTGCATATTCAGCTGTATGACACACTTCAAAGTATACACTGTTTGACTGTATGCTAACCTGTAAATGATGGAAACATTTTCCGTCTGAAAACTGTGTCAAACTGTCAATGGTATGACACACTGTCAATGTAAATACTGTTTAAAGTGTATATTCACCCACTTATGACGGAAACATTTTCCGTCTGAAATCTTTGTCAGTGGTATGGCACATTGGCAAAATATATACTGTTTAGACTGTATATTCACCCACTGATGACGGAAAACGTTTCCACCCGAAAACTGTGTCAATAGTATGACACACTGCCAAAGTACCGCTATACAATGTTTATATTATATAGTTATGCACTTATGAAGAAAAGTTTTATGCCGGAAATTGTGTCAATGGTTTGACAAAATATCAAGGTATACACTGTTTTGACTGAATATTCACTAAGATATCGATATATGATGGAGAGCTTTCCATCCCAAAACTGTGTCAATGGTATGACGCAATGTCAAAGCAAAGTATGCTCTGTTTCAACTGTAAATCCATACACAGTTACGACGGAGGACTTTTCCGCCATGACACACTTTCAAAGTCTTCACTGTTAGACTGTATGTTCACATACTTAGGCCATGTTGATTTGATTATATGGATGACATCCGCGCGCGCATGAATTTTCGGCCGTTTCCCAAAAAAAAGTTTTCAACCATACTTTAAATCGTGCAAAACAGTTGCTAAATGAGCAAAAATATACCATAAGTTGCAAGGAAAACATTTAGAAACGATACCAATGTCGTAGAATACCAAAATCAAAAGGAAAAAAGACAAAAATGTAAAGAAATGAATTCGAAGAGTAAATTATTCGCCATAACATATTCTGTGCCATTTGTTCAACCTTCATGACCACGTAGATTTCATAGTGAAAGCAACTTTTTTTATTATTCGCACGCGCGCATCAGATTTGGGGTTCCCAGAGGATGTCATCCATATAATCAAATCAACATGGCCTTATGACGGAAAACTTTTCAGTCCGAAAAATGTGTCAATGATATGACATCCTGTCAAGGTATTCACTGTTTAGACTGTACATGCAAACAATTATGACGGAGAACTTGCCTTCCAAAAACTGTGTCAATCGTATGACACACTTTCAAAGTACACTGTTTGGACTGTACTAGTAGTCACACACACTAATTTTACAGAGAAACAGTTTTCCGTCCTAAAACATTGTCGATGGTATGACACACTTACAGTCTACACTAATTAGTTTGATTCACGCAGTTATGATAGAGTACTTTTCCGTCTTAAAACTGTGTCCGATTGAATGGTTTGACCCTTTAAAAGCATAGTTTTTTTTACACTGTTTAGACTGTATACATGTACACACGCACTTATGACGGAAAACTGTGTCAATCGTATAACACACTTTAATAAAAATAAAAGTATAGTTTTTTTACACTGTTTAGATTGTATGTTCACCCACTTGAGATGAAAAACTTTTAAGTCCAAAACTGCCAATGGCATGACACAATGTCAAAGCAAAGTATGCATTGTTTCAACTGTATATCCCCGCAGTTATGACGGAAGACTTTTCCGTTTAAAAACTGTGTCAAAGGTATGACACACTTAAAATTCTTCACTATTTAGACTGTATGTTCACATACTTATGACGGGAAACTTTTCCGTCCGAAAATCGTGTCAATGATATGACCGTGACTGTCAAGATATTCACTATGATATAAGTGTACAAGTGTAAATTGAGTGTGTCGCCACGTACCGCGTCTTGTCATTATATGTTTCAATAAAAAAAAATATTCCCTGAACGTTTCATGCACGTGCACACAATTATGATGGAGAACTTGCCTTCCAAAAACTGTGTCAATCATATGACACAGTACACTTTCAATGTTGGACTGAATAGTCGGGCACTAATTTCATAGAGGAACAGTTTTCCGTCCTAACACATTGTCGATGCACATGGTATGACACACTTAAAGTCTACACTATTTAGATTGTATATTCACGCAGTTATAACACAGTACTTTTCCGTCTTGTGTCAATCGTATAACACATAGTTTTCTTTGCACTGTTTAGACTGCATGTTCACCTACTTAAAATTAAAATACTTTTCCGTCCAAAACTGTGTCAATGGTATGACACAATGTCAAAGCAATGTATGCATTGTTTCGACTGTATATCAGTCGTATGTTGCTGTTCAAACATCCAAATTATGAAATCTCGTAATTTGTCGAGTACTACTCCACGTCGTCTGACAGTGTACTCGATAGTGTGACCCCTGGTGTGACCCGGAAACAGATGCGCAACCGGGTGCCACGAAACCCCCATGTGGTGCGTATTTCAGTCAAAAACAACATGGCGGAAACCGCCTAAATTCTGAGTAAGGGCGAACTTTGACGCGTTAATCCGTGGATCCAGTATAAGTTGAAGTCATTGTTTGAACTACACAAGGTTCTTTGTACCTTTCTGATTACGGAGATACATTGTATGGTCTCATTTGACGTATCGTGACCGTACTACGACTTTTTGTATGGAGCATTATAAGTACTCAATCCGGCGCGTCACACGGTGTCACTGGAAGCCATTTTGCCAAGAATGGTTTTGTATGGCAGACCGCATGCAAACTACACAAAATATCATAAAGATTTAAATGACCACACACGTATCGGTTGAATAATCTTTGACAAATTAAGAGAAATTAATAAAAATATAAAACTATCTAGTGTTTTTTTCATTCATTTTCATCGCTGTAATGTTTGATTCACACATTTAATCAGTTTTTGCAGCATGTAAATGCTGTCTGGAAACTGGTTAAATTTCAAGGAATGTCTTTTGCAATAGAATATGTGCCTGCCTATTAATGATGTAAAATATAGATTAAATCCACATTTTTACACACAGTTACAGATATTACCATCTGTATCAGTCTCTTTAGTCATATTAATTTTCATTTTTTGTTCATTGAGGATTGTTTAGGGAAAAAAAGGAAAAGATACTGTCCCTTCTCCACAGGCATAAAAATGTCTACTTCAGCCAGGCCATACTTCGGGTCCTGGCGGGAGTTTTCAAAATGGTGGTAAGGGGTTTGTGTGTGATGTTTACAAGTGGGTAGTACTTAAATTTTCTTCTTTTCCTCTCGGTTGTGGCAGTCAATCCAAACCTTGGGTGTTGTAACGGTTAGATCTGACATTTTTGGCAGCCATAGTACTATTCAGTGTTTCTAGATTCGATGGTAGTCCGGTCTTGAGCACCTAAGTGATCCTAAGTGTTTTGGGAAGTGAACAGCTGCATCGAGAGTAAACTGGAGTTAATTATTTTTCGATGAAAGTCCATCTCCGGAGAAACCCTACTCGAAGTCTGGTCCGGACACAGCTGTTAGTTTGGTGATCAAGAAAGCGTCCACTTGATATAGCTCGAGGATTTAAACTGCTGTCTACTACAAGAGGCCAAAAATTATGCAGTGTACAACAGGTAGGTATGGTTCAGCAAGGAGGTTAAACCTACTTGGGTTCAGGAAGCATCGAAGAAGCCTGATGACTAGATTTTTTTGTGCTCGTGATAGTTTAGTATTCTATTCAATAACTCTGCTGCATGCAAAAGTACATTATGTCTGAAAAGAGCACAACAGACATAACAACAATGGTACAATGCCATCAAGGCTAGTTATAATAGAAGCAATAAAATTATATGATGCGATCCTAATGTTATTTTTTTGGATAAAGAAAAACAAGACTGCACAGAAGGATAGCAAGACCCATGCAAAAAACAATTGGTTTCAGTGGTTCCTGCAACTTGTTTGAATTTATTGTAATGTTACTAGTAGAAGAATTCGAGCATGTGGAATACCAATGATCTTATATTGATGACCATGTTTTATAATACCACATGGCAGTATGCAGTCTTCAATTATTCAGTGCAATCCTATCATCATATCCTCTTCGTGACTTCACTCTACCTTCTCCTAACTGCACTCAATTTTTACATGTCTCTGACTCAGTATTTTCTATTCAATGTGTATTGTTTACTGTATACACACACTACAATGTGTATGTTTGTTCAAGTGAGCCTCAATACTTCTAATAGATAAAACCATACGAATAAAACTTTGTCTCAGGTATATCGTTTTGTACTGATAATTCATCAGTTGTAACATCCCCAAGATTAGATAAAAGCTATTGCCTTTTTTGTCAAAACAAGGAGGTTGATTATTATTTTTACCCGTCGATTTATGGAATAGTCTAGTGACCTTTGACCGGATTTGAGAGGCCCCAATGCAAACGAGTAATCCGGTTCGACACGCTTTGTTCCCGCTTGGTGCCAAAGCGCTTTACGTTTCCAACCTACTGCTGAATGTAGCTGTCTTTGGCAAAATTTTCCCCCAAAACTGCTCAAAACCATGGAAATCGCGGTGAAGACAGAACCGGGGACCTCCCAGGAAAGTTGTGACGCAAACGGCGCGAACTATGAACATCAGGGCGACGCAAATTTCGTGGACGACTTCGGGGATCCGGAGTGGAGCACCCCGCGCAGTACGATGTTCGGGATCGATGAAACCAGACATCTCCTGAAAATCTGGGGCGAGAAGAGCATCCAGGACGACCTACGCACGACCAAACACAACAGAGCCATCTACGAGCGCGTACGGAAGCGAATGGCGGCACTGGGGTACAACCGCACGGTGAAACAGCTCCACGACAAGTGCAAGAACCTCAGCGTGGATTACCGGAAGGCCAGAAGCCTGAAGAACGCCGGGCGAGATGTACCCGGTACCGGACGGGCGATCTTAAAGTTCTACAACGAGATGGACAGGATCTTAGGGCAACGGGACACTGCAAGTTCAGGGGCGGAGGAGAACATAGCTGAAGGTACGTAGCTTAAGCCTGAACTCGTTTACATATCAGTCTTAAAGAGTCTTGATCATGATCAACCGGTTTTTCTAGTTGTCCACATAAGTGTGTGTGTTGACAAGTTCTGTTACTACTAGTAGTTTATATTGACACTGGAAACATCTGGAAGTAATCTCTGTAATAATAGATTTATCCAGTAGTAGAATTTAAATTATTGTCCATGAATACCTAAATTTTGTTCTTCTAAATTATTTAAAACCAATAAAAGTTCTTAAATGGCATTAGGGCGTGGTAGAATGTAAACAAGTGTACTTACCAGTGCAGTGTTAACTAGAATATGATTTTGATAATTACAACTCATACATTACAACTTAATCTTTTGTTATTCAAGACTCAAACTAGTAGTTATTTGTAAACTAAATGTCTATGCATGTATTGTGAAAAAACAGTATTCCTGTTTGAAAAATTGTTGGACATAAGAATGTTTCAAAGTGATTCTGAAGAATGTTTTACAGTAAGTTCTACTTTCCAGCTACTTCTAAAGCCATGTTTAATACCATATGTATCATTTCATTCCCGCAGACGATAGTCACAGCTCCAGCTCCCTGACGGAGAATGAAACATTATCGTACACCCTTCCTGGGACCCACTGTGCCAGGGCTGCAGATGGAAGATTTACACACGTCCCGTACATGCATGACCCAACAAAGTCGCCAGGCGCCCCCCGACCGATCTGGTCAGACACCGAAACACTCGCCCTCATCAACATCTGGGGAACGGACAAGTTTCAGTCCCTCCTGAAGTCCGTACACCACAAGAAACCGATCTTCAAGGAGATTCAAGGGATGATGAACGCTCAAGGGTACCAGCGAACGGCGAAGCAGCTCAAGGACAAGTGTAAGAACCTCCTTGTTGAGTACAGGAGAGCGCGGCGCTCAGGGGCCGATGACACGAGCCGGCGGTCCATGTTCAAGTTTTACGACAAATTCCACAGCATCATGGGACAGGAGACAGACAGTTCAGCAGCAGGCCTGGAGGAGTCGCAAACTTCGGCGCCAGAGATGGAAGATTTGGGAGGTATGAGAAGACTCACTGTGTTCCTTGTTTATTGTTTTAGTATTGTAGTAATATTATTTTACGCTTGTGTGAAAAAGAGAAGAATAATCAGTAGCATGTAACTGTTGTAAGTTCATCTGAGTTGGTAAAGCGCATTACGAGAAAGTTTAAACTATTCTCCAACTAGAAGAAATTTACTGGAATTTTTGACAGAATCGCTCAATTTTTTTCAGCTTTCGTGTGCTTACTTAGTGTGCCTTTTCTCCACCTTTAAGATGACAGCCCTGGTTCGCCCTACCCCATCAGTGTTACAACAGTGGTCAGAAACATGGAGGAAGCAGAACAGCCAAGTCCCCATGGTAGCAGTGAAGACTACAGCCCCTGCCCAGCGTCAGCACACATCGGTATGTCATCTGATGACGCTAATCTCAGCAATCCAGCACAGAGCCACCGGGCGCCATGGCTCAACTCCGAGACAAGGGCTCTCCTAGAAATCTGGGGACATAAAAACATCCAAGAAGACATTCGCAGAACCAGGCACAACAAGGTGATCTTTAAGAAAATCCAAGGGAAGATGCAAGAACGTGGCTTCTCGAGGACTGTGACACAACTACAGGCTAAGTGCAAGAGTCTGGCTAAGGAGTACAGGAAGGCAAAGAGGAACTCTGCAGATGATGAGGGGCGTCGGCTTATTTGCAGATTTTACAATGAACTGGACAGCATACTGAGCAGTTATGACAATCCCTGTTTGGAATCTGTGACTGACTCACAAACTAAAAGGCCTCTGTGTGATACCTTAAGTACTGAAGAAGGTACAGAAAGATGAGCTAGTCAATCTGTCATTGTAGTGGGTGATTGTTTTCTATTTACCCTCCCTATCCTCAGTGCTGAAGAACTTTCTCTGTCCTTAGTACTGAAGACCCTTCCCTGTCCTTAGTGCTGAATGCTTCTCCCTGTCCTTAGACCCTTCCCTGTCCTTTTGGAGTCCTCAACCTTTTGAGGTTAGCATGCAAAGGGAAGAGTACTGAAGACCCCTCCCTGTCCTTAGTGCTGAAATACTTTCCTGTACCCTGTCCATAGGACTGCATAGCATATATTGTTGACAACAGCTAGTAAGAACAGATGGAGGGTCCTAGAACTGGCTTGTTGATAAAATTAAGTGTAAAAGGCAGCTGAAAGTATCAAAGTTTATAAACCAACAACTTTACAATTGCTTATCCTTTCATACCACATGTAGAGTACTTCCATATGTAATATAGCTGCTTCTTTCTTCCTATAAGTTCACTCTGTCTGTCTGTGAACTGAAGAATAGTATTTTTCTTAAAGATGTGATGTGAGCAGTAAATGGTACATGTATATTTGCATGTAACCCAATGACAGAGACTTGCACGGAGCCTCTCTTGTTTGAAAAAGTACATTTCTCTTTTGCAGGAAACGGCCCCTTCCATCCCTCGCAGCCCAATGGAAACTTGACCGCCATGAATGGGACAGGAGTGAAGCGGGCGCGGATGGAGGATTCGGAGTCAGAGTCTGACGGAGGAAACTGTGAGATGATCAGTCCTCGCCCCAAGACCTCATCCACCAGAATAGTCCCAGGTTTGTGTGGTGTAACAGCAGAGCATTCGGCTCAGAACCAAGAGGTCCTGGGTTCGAATCCTGCCATGTCTCCAATCTTGTGCCCTATTGAAAGGCACTTTACATGATTTTCCTCACTTCACTTAGGCAATGAGTTTGCCAGAATAGGTAAATAGATAAATAAATCAATAGAGCTAGTTGTGGGTTATAATTTTCTAATAACAAAGAAGTACAGTAGTGTGTATTTACATAGTTTTGCACTGTAAGAGTTGACACATCTAACTGAGTCTCTGATGCCTTCCTCCTGTACAGGAAAGAGGTTCTTTTCCCTGAAGGCAGCTGGCTGTGTGTTCCAGTCCGAACACTGGCAGCCACGCGGGGAAACAGTGTACCAGCCCCTCCAACATGAAGTACTGATCAACGCCACCAACATAGAACAGATCAGCTTCTCCGAGGGCCTGGCCTTTGTAGGGAACCAGGCTGGGGCCTATGTCAGTACAGAATCAGGTGTGTAGGCAAAGGGAGAGGGCTGGAAGTATTGTTTTGGGTGGTGCTGATTTATGCTAGGTTTGTATGTTTGGATTCCAAAATGAGTGGGTGGAGATTGAGTTTCACTTGATTGACAGGGGTTTGACCCTGCATACCCTGGGTTCAAGGATGTGGTCACCAGGAATGTATGAAACCTAAACCATGGTGTAATAGTGGAGTAAGCTTCATCATTCAAACATATGAGAAGCATTTTATGATGTAATTCACAAACTATATCACCTTTTCATACTTCTTGTTGTTTCTCTTGTAGACTTGCACAGCAGGTGGATATTTTGTAAATGGTAGCAGAACTAGTGTATGTGACGTCACAAACCTAACAGTTTCTTTTGACTGCGTCGAAGACATTGCATGGTACAAGTAAAGGCTATCATATGTCTCTCCAGGTCACATGATCCACCTATGGCGCCATGACAACCAAGAGCGTAAACTTTACGTGTCACGGACATTCCTCTTCACTAACTACCAGGTCAGCATGTGTTGTTAATACTTACTTACAGCAAAAAATTTCCAACACATGTACAAACTTAGCATATCTTATGATTTTTTAAAAAGTACTAGTTTACTATAACATAAATTAGACTTTGAATTTATGACACTAAACCTTGGACATTGCTATAGTTTATGTCAATGATAAGGATTTACTGACAAGATGTATAATTTTTTGGTTATATCTTTTCCTTTACAGATGTACAGTGAGGTGCGAGAGGTGCTAGAGCAGTTGTAAAACCAAAAAGGATGATATCGCATGGAAGAGACAAGAAAACAACCTGGTCTTAATAGCAGTTTTTATATCAATAGTGTCATGTTGAAAGCAGTGTGGAAAGGTTGTGAACAAGTATCTTATATGTAGATATATATGGTGCACAAAATAGTGCATGATAAGTTTTTTTTGCAATAAGTTAAAATGCTTCCCACACTACATGTTGCATACGGCAGCACCCATCTGCTATTCAATAGCCCTCTGCCTCTACAGCCTCAAAAGGGCTATGGAACTACCTTTACCTTTTTACATGTATTTTGGCAGGAGCAGAGAAACATTGTGGCAATATTATCAGAGCTTTATGCATGTATACTGTCCTTAATTAGTGTTGTAGAATGTCTACAACTAGTACATATATAATACAAACTCTTGCCTATGGTGCAATGTCATATGCCAGTTGCTACATATTGTATTGTGCTTTTAATGTGGAAACAAGCCCCAGTGCCACGGTCTATGAATTGTTCAGTGCAAAAATACTTAATGCAAAATATACTGCACAAATGAGTCATAAACTTCCCAAACCATACTTAGTGATAAGAGTGCGTTTATAAATGAATATTGAAAAGTTTGTAACTTCTAGGTTTTCTTTAGTATGTAGCTGGATAGTGAGCTAGGAAGAAAGAAACTCTTATCCAATGTACTGGGCACTATGTGCCACATACCTATAATATACACACATGTAACATATCAGTTTTAATATTTGTTCTCATACAGTTCTCAATGTAAATACCTTTCAACTACCAGTGTTATATCCATAGACATGTCTGTACAATATCTTCATCACAATGATCTTTCAATATAGACTAATGAAAGTACAAAGTGTCTTTTTTTATTTCATAAGTTGCTTTGAAACTACCAGACTTAAATGGCTCCTAGGTGAATGTATTTAAGGTCTAAAAAGTGACAGATATATCATCAAGACCTTCCCGCGTCAGAAAAATTGGGCTGTCGGAAAACATCACCATCTTCCCTCCTAACATCTACTTTGAGATGACGTAACAGCCCCGGTCATTGACCTTTAGGGTCAGTAGGGCTCCGCCATCTTGGGGTCATAAAATTTCCAGTGTGGAGTTCTTTGGAGTTTGGTAGCTCTCGAAGAAGATGTCTCTGAATCGTATAATCCAAACTGCGATGGTATGGAGCATCGCAAGCTTCTACGGCTCCGTAATGTTGGTGACGATGACGCTCAGTGCCATCCGGCGCGGTCCTCGGGCGTTCTTCGGCTACAAGTCTCGCCCCGACCGGCCCAAGTGCCTGGACGATCCTGACCTGGGAACTCACGGCTACGTTCGGCTGAAGACCAGCGGGCTGAGGTTCCACTATGTGGCGGCGGGGGAGCCGCAGAAGCCGCTCATGCTGTGTCTGCACGGCTTCCCGGAGTGCTGGTACTCCTGGCGCCACCAACTCAAGGAGTTCAGGTAACGGTCTTCTTCTTGGCTTGGCTTCGTGTCCAAGTACAAGCTGGTGTGATTACCGGGTATAGGGAAAAACGGTCCGGTCCATTGCGGGTTTGTTTTGGTGTAGTCAAACTTGCCCGATATAATTTGCCACTAGGTGGTTGAGTTTCAGTGCATGATGCATACAAGTGATTGCTGACCTTTTACAAATCTCTAAGCAGATGGTGTATAATAAACTCAGCTATCAGCCAGAAATTACAATTTTCTATTGCAACATACTCGAAGACTAGTATTTTGAATAGTTGTGAATTACATGTAATTAAGTCTTACTTACAACTGTAGGATGCTGTACTACAGTATATATCATTGACCCAGAAGGAAAGCACCAGTTGTTGAGATTTTTGTATGACTCATGTACCTTCAGGAACTCCTACCGAGTTGTCGCTCCAGACCTACGTGGTTACGGTGAGACCGAGTCCCCACAACCCTCTGGCTACCACGGCTGGCCCAACTTCAGCATGGCCCACCTGACCAATGACGTGCGAGAGCTGATAGAAGCTCTAGGCTACAGCTCCTGCACCCTGGTGGCACATGACTGGGGTGGCGCTGTTGCCTGGGACTTCACCATCAACAACCCTGATCTTGTGGACAAGCTGATCGTGATGAACATCCCCCACCCTGCCATGTTTCAGAAGTACCTCAGCACCCACTTCTCGCAGTTCCGCAAGTCCTGGTACATGTTCTTCTTCCAGCTGCCATGGCTGCCAGAGATACTCTGTAGATCCTTCGACTTTGAGGTAAGGGGGAAAGAAGAAAATGCTCTTGAAATGCAGGAACCCTCCCTGGCTACTTGCATGCTTAACTGAAAGACTTTGAGGTAAGGGGGAAAGAAGAAAATGCTCTTGAAATGCAGGAACCCTCCCTGGCTACTTGCATGCTTAACTGAAAGATTGGACACATTTGTGTTGCATTCTCAGGAGTTAGAAACTTTCAAATGATCTGCATTTTCAGGTACCATAATAAGGTTTAAACAGTTTATCTAGGTCATGAGGAAAGAGGTCAAGACAAAATGTGACAAGATGCAACAGTTTATGAGATTGAAGTCTTGAAGATAATTCATTTTTTTTTAAATGAACATGACAGAAATTTAAAAGATGTTGTTGTTGAGATCAGTTGTTTCCTAGATTCTTTTTATACCCGGTAACCATATGTGTTTTTTTTTCTTTGTCTAGCTGATCACTGATGCCTTCCAAGGTAAAGAGATGGGCTGCCGACGCAGTGGTGCCATAACAGATGAAGACTTGGAAGCCTTGAAGTACACTTTCACCAGACCTGGGACCAGCATAACTGGAGGTATTGACATGACTCTTTCTTCTTTTTAGCTTTTGGACTTACATCAAACAATCATTTTATTGAGAAAGATTACAAGTATATACCTATAGCATAGTACATGCAATGCTAGAAATAGCCTGTGGTGTGGGATATTGATTTTAGCTTAAACTTTCCTTCTATCCTTTTAGCCATCAACTACTACCGCACTAATAGATATCAGCTACTACCCTTCTTTTATGAAGTGATGCACGACCAGGTTATAATGTCCTGTAATATATGTATGTTTCTTCTATCACCTAGGCATCAACTACTACCGTGCCGCCTTCAAGACCTTCCCACCTCGCAGCTACAAGGGCACGAAGGTTCAGTGTCCCACCTTGCTGATCTGGGGGGACCAGGACGGGGCCTTGGAGGTGGGCCTGACGGAGGGGACGGACCGGTTTGTACCAGACTTCACGCTGAAGCTGGTGCCGGGAGCCAGCCACTGGGTACAGCAGGACCAGCCGCAGGTGGTCAACGGGCACATGAGGGAGTGGCTGAAGGAATGAGGAGGGGATGGATGAAGTGAATGCGGAAACTTTTGCGGTTGTTTTATTTTGGCAGTGAACTAACATCTCGAGATCAGAACACAGTGAATGTGAACTGTTTCCAGTGCGAACTTCAAAATCATTATTTCCCCTCCTACCGTAAAAGAGACACTGTGAAAGTTTCTGCATTTACAGCAGTATAGTAGGCGTCTCCATGGCATATAACATCATTGTTGTGCATTCCGTCATTATCTGTTGCTCAGACATATACCTAGCCCATTCCTCTTTCTTGGATGAAAGTGACAGTGTAGTAGGCATCCTTCCTTCTCAAGAGATGATGGTAGCACTCTAGGAACCGTGGCTGTGTGCAGCGTCATTCTTGGATCAAAGTGACAGCGTGCCAATCCGGTTATTCCTAAGTGATAGAATGTCGTTGCAGTCCATTTGTTTGCAGTGAGAATTCCCATCTTCTCAAATGGTTGTCTACAGATTTATCTTGATTTAAGACAAAATCGTGTAGTTTTCTCATATGAATGAACACTTATCAACTAAATTTGGAATGGTGATCAAAATCTTTTGATCAATTGACATGAATAAATCTGTATCTGAAGATATTGAAGTAAATATTAAATTATATTTTTGAAATAAGTATTTGTACTAAAGATCATGCTTCTATTGCTGCTCTAACTAGCCTTGTATAACACCGATGATCAAATAGAACATACTTGCTCTGATTGTGTATTGTAAAGCAAGAGAGCAATGTATTAAGCAAAGCAATACCAGGCAATAAAAATACTTCATTCCTGAAATGATCTTGAACTGGCATTGCTTACTGTAATACCTAGTCATAAGGTATGTTTGCAACAAAAAAGATGACCTAATTTTGACTAGCCAACGACCTTGAGGACGTTGGCCTGGTCCATTCGAGGTCATATGAAAGTTTGGGCCACCTCTTAAGGGAGGTCAATGCTCTTGAGGGCGTAGGACTGTTCCATTTGAAAGCAGGTTAAGACTTCCTGTAAGGACATAAACTTTAAAACGCGTTAAGAGCCGACATAAGTCAATTACACATTCAGCCTATGTATTATAGCACTTACATCTGGAGTTTGTCTTCGATTTATATTTTTGTTGACCGGATATTGATTTGTTTCAATCGTAAACCCCCTCCATGGCCCTGGCATTGGCATAGTCTACAACGCTATAAGCTTTACAACTTGAAGTGAGCGTTGATTTCTGCAAGGAAATATGGGGTTCTTCACAAATATCGTCCGGGTTGTTGCGACTTGGGCCATCGCAAGTTTCTACGGTTGCATGATGCTGTTATTCACGTTGCTGAGAGTCGCCAGGCGCGGGCCTCGGGCGTTCTTCGGCTACAAGTCCCGCCCCGACCGGCCCAAGTGCCTGGACGATCCTGACCTGGGAACTCACGGCTACGTTCGGCTGAAGACCAGCGGGCTGAGGTTCCACTATGTGGCGGCGGGGGAGCCGCAGAAGCCGCTCATGCTGTGTCTGCACGGCTTCCCGGAGTGCTGGTACTCCTGGCGCCACCAACTCAAGGAGTTCAGGTGACGGTACAGGCACTGTAATTACCGGGTTTATGGAAAACGTGGTCCGGTCCGATGTTGGTTTGGTGTAGTCAAACTTGCCTAAAAATAATGTAACAGTGTGGTTCAAGGGCCACCAGCCATAAAAAAAGTCCGGACCTTTTGGCCTTCGTGCTAACTGATAAGTTCTTTGGGGTTAGTGGAAAACTTGGTCCAGTTCACCTTGGCCAGGGTTGGTGGTTTCTGGAAAAAGCAGCCTGACTTTTCTGTGTGTAGTTGCACCCCCTGGCAGAAAGCGGTTGAATTAAAGGCAGCCTGGTGCTACACTGATCTTCAGACTTTCAAAATCTCTCCCATGCTAGTAGGGTGGTAACCATAATTTATAAGTGCCAGATGCTTGAGATTTCTCGCGCGATCGCTGAAGGCCAATTGAATTGAATAGATTGACTTCTGTACTTTCAGGAACTCCTACCGAGTTGTTGCCCCAGACCTACGCGGTTACGGTGAGACCGAGTCCCCACAACCCTCCGGCTACTGGGGCTGGCCCAACTTCAGTCTATCTCACTTGACCAATGATGTGCGAGAGCTGATAGAAGCTCTAGGCTACAGTTCCTGCACCCTGGTGGCACATGACTGGGGTGGCTTCATAGCATGGCAGTTTGCTATAGACCACCCAGATCTTGTGGACAAGCTGATTGTGATGAACATCCCCCACCCTGGCGTCTTTTACAAGTACATAGCCACCCACTTCTCCCAGTTCCGCAAATCCTGGTACATTTTCCTGTACCAGCTGCCATGGCTTCCAGAGATGCTGATTAAAGCCTTTGACTTTGAGGTACGTTGAGGGGACAGGCAGCTGTTTGCTTTTGCAATAGAGTACTGTGTTACTGTAGAGTTTACATAGTCAAACTCCTTTTAATGAGTATGAAATGCTTAGGTATTATAATAGTTAGTATGCAGACAGCTAGCCTGGTTACCAAACCTGTTTTAGCTGCCGAGTTTCTTTCGTTCTCTCTGTTATTTGTGGAGAGGACGAAAGAGACTTGGAAGCTCAAATAGGTTTGGTAACAGCTGCCTTAACTTGCATTGTACAGGAAACACAGCAACTTTGCTTCACTTTAAGTTCCTATATCTGCTTGGAAATTAGGTGTTCATACAAATAGTTTCTGTATTCTTCAGATGATCCGTGGTGTCTTCAGAAGTAAGAACATGGGCTGCAGACGCCGTGATGCCATAACTGATGAAGATGTGGAGGCTTTCAAGTACACCTTTGCCAGACCTGGGGCCAACATTTCAGCAGGTAGCGCAGATGCCTTAGATCTTTTTTTCTTTTTTCCTATCTGTAAACATCACCTTTCTACCATTTTTTTGGCTGTTGATGTGAAATAGGGTTAAATATCTGAACTTATCAGTGAGTGAGTGAGTGAGTGTGTGAGTGATTGAGTGAGTGAGTGAGTGAGTGAGTGAGTGAGTGAGTGAGTGAATGAGTGAGTGAGTGAACGAGCGAGTGAGTGAACGAGCAAGTGTATGCCATGTGTATGTCTCTTCTTAGTATCACTTAGGCATCAACTACTACATGTACATACCCTGTTTTCTTGAAGTCATGCATGACCATGTACTTATATCCCATGGATATTTCTTCTATCATCACTTAGCTATCAACTACTACCGTGCTCTCGTGAAGCAGCCTCGCAGCTACAAGGGCACGAAGGTTCAGTGCCCCACCCTGCTGATCTGGGGGGACCAGGACGGGGCCTTGGAGGTGGGCCTGACGGAGGGGACGGACCGGTTTGTACCAGACTTCACGCTGAAGCTGGTGCCGGGAGCCAGCCACTGGGTACAGCAGGACCAGCCAGAGGTGGTCAACGGCCACATGAGGGACTGGCTGAAGGGGTAAAAGTGGCCGGCTAGGGTTGGTTGGGAGTAGCACAACACTCGACAGAAAACGGGGCATATTATAGAAAGATCTAACTTGGGTGGCATCCTCCATAGTTTCCGCCCACTCCCCAATGTTGCTGGTAGCCAGTGACATTAGGGAGTGAGCATAAAGTACGGAGGATGGAACCCAGGCAATGAAAGATTACAATCTTCCCCACCAACATCTGCTTGGAGATTAACAGAAAAGAACATCATACATACAATATAGTATGGGGGGAGGGTTTAGCTTACCAGTCTTGCTGGCATAGTCATCAATCCATTTTCAGCTTAATATGTTTGCTTCTCAACAATCACTACCTTAAACCCTCCTTCACACTAAAGAGTAAAGGCACAATGACACCCCTTTACACTAAATACATGCAAAGTTTTTAGATCAATATGCTTCAGTTAGCTTCAATATGTATAAAAAATTCATATTCTGGCCCATAGTCTGTCTTGTGAAGCCAGTTTTAATCCTTAGCACATATTGGGGCAGATATGCAACGCATGTTGTATGATACATATTAAATATTCAGTAGTTCTTTGCAGTGATGAGTGCATTTGCACTATAAGCATACAGTCAGTGTTATAATTTGTTTACGTAATTAATAATTGTGAAGAAATAATATATTTGAAAATGTTCAATGAGAATTCAGACATCATCTTGATGTTTTTAAAGATTGTTATGCTGCCTTTTGCAGTTTGTCCCTAATGCCTTGTTTGGCAGTAAATAATTAAGATGTGATTATGAGCCACAGAAATATTACTGAGACATTCCAGTGTTCCATGCAATCTTCTCCAAGGGAAATTGACTTCACAAAACTTCCAAATACATGTATGTAGTATTTCTGGTATACTTCTCTGCTAGTAATAATGACTCGTGGCAAAATTTACTGCAAAAATAAATCCACACAAAAAGTGCCATTTGCCCATTGTCTTGGGAAAATTTATTGTGGTAAAACACTTGAGTTGGCCAGTCTTTCCAGTCCAGTGTGTATCACTTACACAGTTTCTACCAACTACAACACAGTCCAACAATATGTCTAATATATAGTTATTATTGCAAAAACAATTTCCTGGGTATTCTTCTCTCCATTAGTTTGCAATTATTGCAAATCAGATTGACTCACATACCAAAAATTAGAAGGCTACACATTCACACAACATTTAAACATTAAATAATGATTATGATGATCATATCAATAATAATTACAACATAGTTTTTATGTTACAAATACTACATATCACTCCTTGGTACCAACCAAAAATCATAGACTCAACAAAAGATCCTCTCTTGTACCATATAACATATAAAATACTAGGTGTTGAAATTACAGTTAAGAGTATAGAGTGGACAGAAGGTTTAAGTTGATATTTGTTCATGGTGGCTTATTGTGTTAACCCTTTTTTAAGCAGGCAGACTTCTTGACCAGCGAAAACCTGGTGCTAAATGGTAGTCTTGGCAGAAGAAAGGTTAAGAAATTGGGTATCTAGGTAAGCTTGACAATTGGCCCTTTCAAGTGAGATATTTTCCATAAACATCATAACAGAATATTATCCTGCAACAAAATCTTTCACAATTAGGTCTTAAAAGTCTGAACAATTGAATAACATTCGTTATTGCTAGACTGTACTGAAAATGACTGCTTTTTTGTGGCCAACATGTCTCAAGGCACATGCTAAGGATAATAATAATTCAAAGCCAAAAAAGGGAACGATTTCTTTAAAAGGCACATCTTATGACAGTCTGTGACATTTCATATTTTGTAGTACTCTCTAAAATCTTTTAACAGAAGAAAATGACATTTGAAGGCAGTAGCTGGTTGCTAGACATAGTTTACTGAGTTGAAGTAGTGTCTGACTCAATCAAAATGTATTTAGTTATAAAATAAGGCAACAAAGGTATTTATCCTTAGTCAAAATTGACATCAGTGATAAGGTAGCTTTCATGTAATGACATAGCAAGGAGTAAAACCACAATTAGATTAATTCACTCTTTCTGTCATCTCAAATTTACCCCCCTCCTCAGCTGCCAGGGATACCTGCCCCTTTTTTCACACTTGGCAGCAATTCAGCGGAACGTACTGCGCCTGCACGAAACCTGGATTTTTCACAATTTTTGACGGATGTTTGGTCAACGTTGCATCAAGATTTTGCCCATTGCAAATGATATCTTTTCCCACATAAAATTTGGAAAACTATAGACAGGATGTCATCAAATAAAGGCCTTCAAAGAGACATTCTGCCAAATTGCTTTGCACAATACATTACGGGTTTTTGTGCAGGTGCAGTACGTTCTGTTGAGGTGCTACACTTGGCATCATTCATGCTTCTAATGATATCATTCAAGATTGCTAATTGAAAACACTATCATCACACAACATTTTATAGATAGCGACATGTACAGATATATCAAGGTTAATTTTCATAAGGCTGTGGTATATTAAGGCACAATCGATTCAGTAACTTTGATTGTCAAAGATTCCACAAGTTAAAAACTTTGTACATCCAGGTCCCACTTTAATTTGCTGTAATTTATCTTTGAGATAAAAGTTAATATTTATTAAAATCATCTCATTTTCAATGTATCAATTCATATATTAGAGCTTCATTTATTTGTATGATAAATAAAATCATAGAGTCTAATGCATTTGGTCAGTCAACAATTTGATAGGTGTTCCGTAATTATTCAGTGTTTTATATAAAAATGTTTCTCTTCAATTTTGTAGATTTCACCAGTGATTACAAAGCATCTTTATTGTTGCATGCAAACTTTAGAAAATTGGTATATTCTTGTAAATTATACTTTGAAGGTTTGGATCTTAATATGAACTTATGTTCATTATCTGTTGTTTTTATTCAATTTGATAAATCACATGAAGTAGAGAAAATAGCTCTTTTTCGATAAAACTTTGATTCTGGCTAATTTTGATGAGTTTCAACCTCCCTGGACTTGTGCATGATATAGGTAAGCGTGGATTTTTTTTGGGATGAATTTCATCCAAGAATAGGAAGTTTTTGATGAATTACCATTATGAAGAAACCATCTTCTTTTTGACAAAGAGACTCTTTGACACAACCAAGATTTTTCTTTCAATCGACGTTTCGGTCAGCGTCAGCTGAATAAACCTCTTGGTTGTGTAAAAGAGACTCTTCATTCAGTGACTTACCAACCTGATGAAACTAATTCACGCATCTCTCACTTAATACACTATGATCACAAAACACAATTATATTCACTTCTCATACTTGCTACAAAAATGACTAATCATTGTACATTCCTGTGTCCTGCAATTAACGACCAAGGCAGAGGTGTTCTTGGTCCCCTGTTGGAGGGTTGTGACCTTGACCTTGTCGTGACCTTGACAACGACCTTGTCGTCAAATCCTGCCCATCTTGGCATCTGAGATCGCTCCCCACACGTCAAAGATGAACTCGTCAGGAAACGCAAACTCCCCCAGCCTGTCGTCTAGCGCCTGTGCAAACTCGTCCGGGTTGTTTTTTGTCTTGCAGATGTCGACCATTGTCTCGGCTGTAGGGACACAAGGAGCAGTTAGTTCACATAACTAGGAAGCCGCCTTAAGATAATTTTATCTTCATCTTGGATAGCTTTTCTTACACACAAAATACTGAGATATCCAAACTTACAACTGGCAAAGTTATATCATATATATGTATAGATAATAGATGCTTCAATGTTTCTTTAAATTTGTCTTGCATATGTCAACCATTGTTTTGGCTGTAGGGATGCAAGGAAGAGGTAGTTTTGCTGTTTTTCTTTGACACACAAAATACTGAGCCCAACTCCTTCCTTACCCAGTTCCATGTCTCTGATGCCCATGAATGACTCCAACAGGTCGTCAATCTTTCTAGCTGCTCGCTCTTCAAATTCTGTCGGCTGCAACAAACAACATACAAATACATAATTCTTCAGTAACCGTTTTTTTTTTTCACAGATTTCACAGAAATTTCAATCAAATTTGTTTCAATTTGAAGGGTGTCATGACCTAAATCTGGTCAGACTGCTCCCGAATGTTGGCTAAACGTGGTTGGCTGGTGTTTGGGGGCAAGATCATGAATGCATGACAGGCTTTACTCACAGCGTCCTCCACAGTAGCTGGTCCCTTGGACCTCATCCTGAGGGTCTGCTTGCCTGTCCCAACCTTCTGTGGAGCAGCCTCCTGGGCACCCTGCTTACTGGATCTGGGAGCTATGTCAGCTGGGGGAGGGGAGCACACAGTGAAAATTTTAGGTGAGCAAAGTTTTTATGTGAAACAAAAGTATTAACTTCATGATGGAAGGTATCTATATCTGTATGGCCGATATAACCACCTCTCAGCATAACACAGCTGATGTACCAACATAGTCACAGATGAGCTTTCATGCTAAAATATTTGAATGAAAGTTCATTTGGGACAGTAAATGACATTAAGAAGACTGACATGAAACACTAACAGTACCCTCTCCTTCCAACCAAACTCAGGTACACTTGGGTAGAGTGAGGAAAGTGGTGTACAGTGTCTTTCCCAAGGACACAATGTCTAGTCAGAAATACCAGGAACTGAACCAATAACCTCTTGATTCCATGTCCGCTATAGCTTAGCCACCCAGCCTAGTATTCTAGGAAGATGGCAACATGATTCTTACCAAAAGCCTTTCTGGGCTCCACCAGCCTGATAGTAAAGGTGGTTCCCTCCTGTAGGTCCTTTAACCTCTTCGCCACCTCATAATGCCGAGCACCCACCTGTTGGAATAGAACACAGAATGTTACTAAACACGTCATCTTACATTGTGCAATATATCCAAAAGGAACACACATCAAGGTGACAGATAAAACACAAGAGTGAAAATCCATTGGTCATTGAATAAGGAACCTTCTTATACTGAGAATCAGATTCATTATGAGAAGTTTCTTCAGTGTAAGAAGGTAACATTTTACACCTTAGACCAGTATCATCTTACTGAATCAGAGTCAGTGTAAGAAGTTACAGATTAAGGTTCTTGATTCAACAATGCAGTGGTTTTCTCACCCAACATTTTGGTGACCCTCTTTTGCCTTTTTCAGGGCAACCTGAAGTGCTGTATGACGACTCAGGTTCTGATTCTTACTGTAGTGTTACAGATGTGGTCGGATTGTCCCAAAAATGGGTGAGGGAGGTGACAGACAATCATCAAAATGTCAGATGTGAAAACCCACTGGTTGTTGAATAAAAGACCTCGACTTTCTCACTAATATCACAGTCTCTTGCCACCCTGATTACATTATTCTCAGATGAAAGACAGAGTCAGTTCTAAAATGTCCCTGCATGTACACGTCACACACTCAGTACATTAATATTCACAAATCTGAATTAGTCTGACTCGCAGCCTGTGCCCATGAAAGAGGCAACATGAAACCTGTGCATTTAAGTTACTAGGGCTGATACAAGCTGCCCTGACTCTCTTAATCATTGCGAGAATGATTAAGACTTTGGGCCCCCCAGCAGCTTGTTTAATATGCACATTTTTGTGACGTCATCACTAGACAAAGCCTTACCAAGTTGGTTCCCTGGATGGCTTCGATGTGATCTCCGACACACACAGTCTTGACATTGTCCATGATGGAGTCTTCCTTGATACGCTTGATGAAGGCATACCCTGCTCCGTTGTCTGTTATCGTCAGACCTAGGGCCGGCGCTGATTTTGTTACCTATGTAATTACAAAAAAGATTTTAGAATCTTGAGAAGTGTTTCTGAATTTTTGTGAAATGTATTAGATTTGTGGAGGGTATTGTATTGTCAAGTTACAGCAACTGGATATGATTTTGGAAACAGTCAGGCATTTCAGGTTGCATCCACAGTCACTACCTTTCGTCAGTGACACTTGAGCAACTGTTTTTTTGGCATATATTATATATTACATGTATAATGTTTCTTTAATAAGGATGTTACCTCTATGTCCTTGGTCTGTCCTCTGCAGTGTGCGAAGATGAAGTCTTCCAGTCCGATCTGTCCCCCCAGCAGCCTGGACATGTCCAACTTGTGAGTGTTCAGGGTGCAGAATAAGATCTGCAGGGGGACAAAGAAAACAACTGTTAATCTATGTGTTGTATGTCAATCAGTCTCAGCAGACTATGACTAAACTGTGCAAAACCAAAAAAAACAAATGTTACCTCTGTCAAAAATTGAGGTATTGTTTTTGGTCTGTCTGTGTATCTGCGCATCTGTCTGTGTGTATGTGTGTGTGTGTATGTATGTGTGTGTGTGTGTGTACACACTTAAAAAGGCCTGCATATATTGTGATGATACATGTATTTGGTATGAGAGTAGGTCTTTGGAAGGTGAAGATCAAGGTCACATGTCGGCTACCTGGCAGCTGTCCTTAGTACTGAAGAACTTATTGTTTTTTATCTTTTGTTTCTTCTTTGGACTTGGCCCAGCTTGTTTCAAATGAAGAAGACATACAGCCTTCTCTATGAGCCCTTTTTTCTAAAAGCCCCCCAACAGTTTTGAAAAAAGATCAAATAGATTCAAAGTGTAGCTCTTCTAACAAACCAAACTAGCCAAATTTCATATAAACCAGTACCCTGGATGGCTTTCATAATGCACCAGAAATCATAGGACCTTGACATTTACAAGAGCCTGTATACCCAATCTGTTAAGTATAATGTAAATGGTAAACTCCACATGTTTTACAACCTGCCAACGCTTGTTTGACGTCCTGTGGCAGCTGTTTGTTAACCCTCTTTAGATTCAAGTCTTAGGGTGACACATGTTAAGCAGGTTCATCTAGAGTTCAAATAAGATTAGGTAGATCTTCTTTTAGGTGCTGTGTTGTGTGTAACATTAGCTTCAGGGTTCTTTCTCTTACCAGATGGCACTAGATGTCAACTCATGTAGGATTTAAGCTTGAAGAGCTAAAGCTAAGTTAACATAAATACTTGACAGGGGTTAGCATGTAACATGTGTTGGAAGGGGGGTCGATTTAACCTCCTCGATCCCTTCCACACAACCCAATTAGCTGGTGCGAAGTGTCTACCTTTATTTAGCATGATGAAGGTTACCCTTCAAAATTTACTTTACAGATTTTGCCATAACAAGATTTTTTATGCAAAACCAACAAAGAGAAATGATCAAGAAATTTTAATTGAGATTTTCATAATATATAGCCAACTGTCCTATACCGGTAATGGTTCATATAATTCCCATCGCACAAGAAAACAAAAAATCTTAGGGTAAGGGAATATCATTCACTGGTATACATTACATGTACTAGTTCATGTAGTAGTAACATATCCAAGTGCAAATAGCTACCAGCAATCTTCACAACTGCAACAAAATTACACCAGCTGACAGGAAGATACAAGTTGACATATCATGTTTTGCCAACTGATTATTCATAGTGCCCTAAGAGTTAGATATTGAAAACAGAAATGGTCTAGTCTGTCAACATGAGCCAGACTACTCATGCAGAAGTTATGTCCTGCCACACCCATGTATGGTAAACAAACTGGAATGGAAAACCCGCTCAGACTCAGAGAGAAACCTTGACTGAGACAAATTCTTTGTGCTTCAGTGAGCATTACTTGGACACAAAAAAACACTGTTAGATAATGCGAGGGTCTGCATGCCTTTTTCTGTGAAGTGTGGCAAGCCATTTTATTCAGCGTTGACATTTAACAAGCTATTTTGATTCCATGTTAAGCTGTTGTCAGGATTAGACCATGAAGCCTACTGATTGCTTTAATTCCATGTTATACTGTTTTATGTAATTTGTTATTCCACAGTCATCCTTAAGCATTATTGGCATATTGCAAATTTCTTAGCATCATGTAGTTGAATGCCGGGAAGCCCAAATTTACAACAGACTTTCAGGCATCCACAGACTAGTTAAGGGTTGCCAGAATCCCCCCATGCAGACCCTCTTAATATGTGCATGAATCACTCCTTTAGCTTTGTAAGGCACTTTTTGTATCTATAGCTCTGGAATAATACCCCAGTTGTCTGACTTCTATTTACTGTTCAGGTCATGTGGATTAAACAGTGTCCATGTAATTAGATGTTCTACCGGTAAATGACTAGTAGGAGTTTTTGCTCACAATTAGTAACTCGTTACTAAATTATACGGTTTGTTAAGTACCAAAGGTACATTGTATGGTCCCTCCATTTTCAAAATGAAACTTCTGAAAAGTGTGTTAGTAACACTCCATATTAATTAGAATTGTGCATGCAGACCAATTATTCTCTGATTTTTCGTGTACAAGAGTTAAACTATATAGTATTGGAACTGGTTTACTTTGAACCTAATGTACTTAGTAGTCCATTGCTCACAGATATGATGTAGCAGCCTACAAGTTTGGAGCTCTAGGCTTAGAAATATTTCCTATGCTACAATAATTATTGAAATCTTAAAATTCTTGGCATGAACATGCACCTATGAAAAATAATTGCCCACTTATATCTTGTAATAAGCAATGATTAAATGTTACATACAGGGATATTTTAAACAAAATATTTTCTGCACTTGGACTTCAGTCTATAGACTTTATAAATATAACATTGGCAACAGTTATTGTCAATATTTTTCAAAGGCCAATCACTAAGTAGAAAAATTATGAATAATTGTTATTATAAGAATTGTGTGTGAAGTACAATATCATCAAATAAAAGACTAGAAATACAGGAAACACTGTTGAAACTTTAGGTTAAACTTTTATGTTCTTTTTAACAAAAATGTGATGTAAATCATTTTGAGCAATAAAACCATCAAATAAGTTTGTATTGATAAAAATTCAGTCCGTATCCAAGCTGTCTAGACAAGTGCAATGTTCACAGTTAAAATCAATATATCTGGGACCTTGTGTTCATTTACTACAAGGTGATACAAAAATGAGTCTAATGGTAGGTGAACACAGAACAGACATGATATTGTTCTCTAATTTCAAACCCATGAAATTGTGCTCACGACAATACAATTTTCTATGATCTCCGAGTAGAATGTACAATTCTATGCCATGTTTTACATGTTTTTGAGGGCGCTTTTTATGCATAGTGTCAGGTATTCTTAGTGGTCTTTGATTTGGGTTTTCCCCACATTTACAGAAAAATGAAGACTGCTAGAAAGATGTATAAAAAGCCTTTAAAAAATGTCCATAACTCTGATCCCACATCTGCTTGGAGATTTAAATTTTCATTTATTATGCTCTACTGAAGCCTACTCAACTGGCAAAACAAACAAGTTTCTTTCAATTACAGTCAACCAATTTTTAATGCAAAACTATAATCTCTATCTCTCACTTCTGATTCATTCTTCTGAATACAGATCTTTTGATTGAAAAAAGGGCAACATTGAGTTGCGAGGATGTTGTTTAGTCCACAAAGTTGTCACAGGTTTTTCTTTTCTCAAAGATGTAAATAAATGTCACTGACCTTTAAGGTCATGGCTACTTTATTTACTTTTACTGTATCAGTGACTTTCGTGGGAACTTTCTCACCATAAGTAGTCAAGCAACTTTATTTAACAGGCAGATACTGTAATTATGTAGTAAAACTACTAAAAGAGCAATCAAGACACTTGAATGAACAAGTCATACTTAGTCTAGTACCGTCACTTGTTCAAAGTTGTTCAAAGTTCTACCTTCACTTGTCAAAGCTCAAAATACTTTTTGTATACCTGCACTGATGCATGTAAAATTGCAAATTACCTGCACCAGACAGATTTTATCTGCACCACTCAGAATTTGGGAAATACAGAAAAACTGTTCAGATTGCCACTTATTTCATAGGTGCTAACAGTCAATGCAATAAATAAAAGGTGTATACGTATTAGTATCATGTAAAAATGTATTGTATAAACCCAGTACATGTACAGGACCTAGTTTAGGCAGACATCAGAAATACCTGCACAGCTGCAATTTTACCTGCACATGCACAGTACATGGACCAGTGCAGGTTAGGTACAGGTAGACATCAGAAATACCTGCACAGCTCCAATTTTACCTGCACTAACCTGCACATGCAGGTGGTATTTTGAGTTGTACTTGTATGTAACATTTTCAGTAACATCGAACTGAAAAACTCACCTCATCAGCTGGTATATTGAAGGCTTTGGCTATTTCAGTGTAGAGTTCCTTAACGTTGGTGAAACCTTCTATCCTTGCAGTTGGACTGCCATGTGCAAGCTGAAAAGTCAATTAAAAAAAGAAATCAAATATTATTGAATTCTACAGAATGAATCTGTGGCTATGTTAGTGAGCCTTAACCAAAAATGGGTAAAAATTTCTACGTGACAAAAATAACTTCAACTCATAAAGGATGTGAATCAGTCAGACGAATTTATTGTCTTCTTATTGCCATGGCAACAGGTTCTCTGCCCTCCCTCCTCTTATTTAATTGTCTGCATCTGGGGTCAGCAGACTGATTTTTACTATGCGTGGGTTGTACGGTTGTGACTTATAATGTACATTTTCATGTTTTCTTTATTTTTCACTGAGAAGGGTTGTGGAAAATCAATCGGACTGGAAATTGTAGAGTTTAATTATCATACTAGCATTAACGACACTGATGATTTTCAAGTTATTCAATTTGCTAGAGGAAAATTTGCTTTTGATTCTTAATTGTACTATTATTATTGTATTATAATTCATAGTAATTTTCAAACTTAAGCACTAAAATATTAGTATTACAATGACATAGTTAAATCACCTAATACCTGGAATACACTAGCTTCATCAAAATTCATAAAACATGGAGAAAGGATACAAATGGTGGAAAGAAATACTAGCCCTTTAGTATCATCATATGAAAATATAGAATATCATAATGACAGAGAATGTAATTTCTTGTGGTGGATGGCCCACCACAAAATTGTCTCTAGAGCTAAGATTAAGAACAAATATGAAAAGCAGACCTATGTGGGAGTCAATCTGAGCAGAGACAGTAGTAGAATAATGTCCAGACTATCATGCTGCACCTCTTTGTTCTATTTTTGTTCTGATCTTGTTGTAGAAGAAGACCAATTACGATCAAAACGACACCAAGACAGACATGCCGAGGAATAACTCTAAGTCTTACGCTTACCTGTGTGTGGAACACCAGTTTTGGCCGGACATTGGGCTGCATGGGCGCGGGAACGGACGGTCCGGACATCTTGTTGGGCGTGGAGGGAGAGTTGACTGAATTCTCCGTCCGAGCGGCCTCAGCTTCTGCTGCATTCTGCTGCTGCTACGCACAGGGAGAGAATTACATCCATAAATGCATTGCGCACGGGAAAAAATGAATAGACATGATATTTCTGTGAATGCTAGGATCGGAGCTGAGACAAGAATGAGAGAACCAGTTATCTTAGCTATGTTCTAGATCCTTCACCTTTATCTGTACCGGTCACTTGTTTTGTAACTAGCAGTCATATGTATGCGCAACTGCAGATAATCTAATATTGTTATTTGGCTAAGTGGTACAAAAGAAAGAAAAATAATGCAGTCACGATGCACCACAGTGGAAAAAAACAAGATTATTTGATCAAAAATCAGCCTTTACTGACGAATTCATAGAAACATGACTATAATCATATAATTTGCAGATTCGTGTTGAAAGCACATGTTATAAGCGATATCAAGAAACATCAAGAGACTTGTTTTCCAATTGTATAACTTGGATTGAAATAAAGTACATTGTATTCTGTACTTTTGTATTACAAAAAAATGGAATATCAAATTTTAAATATGTTGTCCTTAGGATCATAGTATTACCTATTTCAGATATACTACTGAAAAATTACTGAACCCTTGAATAGATAGAATTATCCACACCTTGGGCAAAATAATAGCTATTGAATGTTTTTGGGATTAGTCTATTCAAGCTACATTAAAATGTATCATATTGTAGGAGAGGGGAGGGGGGGGCTTATTGGCAAATGACAAAAGTTACTTAACCCTTGTCCTGCTGTGCGCAACATATGTCGCGCGGCACATACAGTACCATCTATATAACACTCTGTATAGGTACGATTTGGGGGTATTTTTCGTGCAACGCATCACACCGCAGCGAAACGCAACAAATGCGGAAGTAACTATGCCACTGCAGGGCAAAAAAATTTGGGTTTCTTATGATCTAATTAAGACATGAAATTATTGAAAAATATTGTGCCAGGAATGCCAGCAGGACAAGGGTTAATACACAATTTTATACACATCCAAGAGGAATCTAGTTTTGAGGATTTCTGTTATCATAAAATATAAACACGGTTTATCTATTGATTGTACTATCCCTATTCCCTAAATGATTTTTCAGAAACAATGGTGAACTTTGAACCGATGTACATTTCACAAACCTTGGAGTCAACCCAAACTTAAGACTACAGGAAGTATGTCGTTTTAACCAGAGCAACACTTTTGGGAAGGTTCTTCCTCCAAAATGGCGACATTCTTGATCTTTTGAGGAAAATCTAGCCGAACAGGTAGAGTATTTTCATCATGCTATTAATAGCGTTGTGCAATGGATACTAGTATGCTTTTACTCGCAAGGATGTTGTCTGCTCAGAAAATAGACTAAATTTAATCCTAGTTGGTAACACTATACTCCTGGATTAGTCTATCAAGGCGAAACCCTACCGCATGTGTTTTGAACAGTCCCACATTTAAATTCATATTATTAAAAGCTTGTTGAATTTTCAACAGCCTAGCAAAAAATCCGTACACAGGTAAGGTACGTTATATACCGTTAACGTTATAAACCGCATATTCACACACCTTCATCTTCTTCTTCGACTTTTTCCCGAACAGTCCGGACATCTTTGCGGCTTTTTCTTCGGTGTACAGTTGGAGAATGAAGTCCTTTACGGCTGAATTTTCCGGGGAAGGTGAACAGATCTCGGGAAAGCCCTCGAAATTGCCAGGATTTTCGCAGATTGGATGCGGACTTTCGCTTAGAATGCAATGGCGGCCATGAGCTCTAGGTACCTATTCAATCAACCCCACAAGGCAAAAAGCAGCTCCTCCCGGATCCGGTTTCCACCGTGCGATTCATTTGCATACAGAAATTAGGCTGGAGTGCAAACCAGCGGCGCAGGTTCTAAACCACCTGTGAATCACAACTTGTTACGAGCGCTCTGATTGGACGATCGGCGTGTGCCGGTACACCTTTTGATGACAAACTTTTTCCATACGTCGAACAAGTTACAACTTCTTAATGGCTCTTAGCTGTTCTTAAGAGCAGAATTTTTCTACGTATCCATAACAAATAAACAAACTGCGACACACTTCTATTTTCTCTGCCAGTTCACACATAGGAAATTAACCAATGCGGTGAGACGTAACATACGCACCAAGTGAGGTGTGGCTTTCTCAGGTGAGTTTACCTGTGACCCACCTGGCGTCACGTGATCCGTGTTTACCTGTGGGGTTAAAGTTTAAACCTACACGGAAGTGGGAGAGATCGCGTGGCAATACATGATAGAAGCTAAACATACACTCTTAGCCGTGTGTGTATACTCTTTGATCACCAACCTTTTTCACAAGTGTACAGTTTAAAGGCTTGGGCAGGTGCTACTGTTATCATAGTAGGTAAGAGATCCTTAATCTTCCACAGTTCACTTTGCAAAGATAAAAACTCGTTACACCTGTTTCTGTTAAATGTATGTCACTACATGTAGGTGTGCTGTTTTGTCTTAGCTGCCTCCATTTTTACGGTATTGCTGAGTGCAAAGCCAGCTTACCACTTCTAGTCACTGAGCTAGGTAGGCACGACAGGTATTTGACTATGTCAGAAGATGGCGGTGGATGTTTGTTTTAAAAGCTTGAGGATTCTATTCGGTAGGGAAGCATGTGTCCCATAATTTTGCAGTCCGGGGAAAGAAACTGCTGCTGTAGAAAGATTGGCACTGACGGCGATCACTTAGGAAAGGAAGGATTGACGGAAAGTAACGTTTATCTAACCAATTCCCTCAATTCAAAGAAATGGAACTCTATAACAGTGAGAAGTGTGTATGTGGCTTATTTCTTGCGTTTTATTTCAAAATCCTTGTATACTAGGACAATGACAAAAGGCGGATTGCACACAGCTCGTTTGGTTGTCCTCGTCCTAGTCTGTTGTACTGCTCGGATTTGTGGTGAAGTGGAAGAACAAGGCACATGCTCAAAGGACGATGGAGTGGATTGCGGCTCACAAAATCTGGAAGTGACACCGGTTATCACAAAGCTTGACGGTGTAGAGGTAAGTATAAAGTTATAGTAGGCCTAGGAAAATGTCGTGTTACCCGTTTTCTGACTGACAAAAGGAAAACCTGCCGACCCTATCACTTTTGTTGCTGTACTTTTTTGGTCCACTGGAACGTTTTGTAACTATCATCATTTTCTGTGTCAGGTTGGACATGTGCAAGATGTGATTCTTGACGGAAAAACTCATCAGATGAAGACTTTATCTATGAAGCCGCAAGTCTTGGGCAAGTATTCTTGTAGTGTAGTATTGTTGTAATGTAGTAAGTTGAATCAATCCTAGTCCATATCACACTCATGGACATCTGTGAGGCAAAAATGCGATATTGCTGACGGGAATGTTTTTGTTTTGTATCTGGTCTAGCAGTATGGACAGTACACCGTTTTTTGCCGCCCTAAAATTGGATGCCTTTTTAAAAGGGTTCTTATCTATTCCTTACAGAGATTCAGCATTTCTTGACGGATGATGAGTGTGATCACGTCATGCGCCTTGCCGAGAAGGTCGGCATGTTTGAAAGCGTCACGAACACGCCAACAAAATCCAGAAACGTCCAGATCATGGACATGAACAAGGACACGGTTCTCAGTCTAAGGGAGGTGGGTGGTCAGCAAAACTAGTACTCCACCAAAATGAAATAAACGGAAAATTTATCAGTGTTTTGTCATCTTTAATGAATGTGAATCAGGACATTGTAGCCACCATACTTAAGCAATGTCCTAACTTATGCCACTCGAAACGTCTGGAAGTTATCTTCTAAATTTATCCTGTAATAGAGTTTGAATTGTCTTTGAGTCCTAACGCAACATTCGGTTTAAACTAACATCGACATAATCGAGTTGTGATCCTTTCTGTTCAATCCAGTTTATTCTGACGATTGAGAACTCTTTTGACATCTACTTGGACGAGGGCGACATGCTGAAGATGTAAGTTGCTGACGATAGACACAGTAAAGTCTGTTTGAACATGGTGTTCAGCACCAAGGACAGGCCCATTCTTCACTACCACATGCGGTATCAGTATAAGAATGGTATAATACAGTATCGGGAACATGGTGATCGTCGTTTGCTTTATGGAGAGGGAAGAAAGAAAGAAAAAACACATGTTTGTGAATCTCTTTTTCTTATCTCCTCCATATGTGCCTTACTTGTTACCGGCTTTCTGTTGCAGGTATGCCGACTTGGGGATGGACCACAACGCAGATGGTAAGTAGACAGACTATGAATAAAATATTTTTCACTGTCACCGTTTTTTTTAAACCATTTTCCTATTTTTTAATTATTCGAGAACTTCCCGTTTATGTTGCTATTTCCATTCTTCATTTTTTAGCGGAGATATCCAGGGAAGAGCTGTACGGGCAGGATCCTAAGTCCGTTGCTGAGTGGCTGGAGGAATACGTCACCAAACTGCCGCACAAAAAGTCCCGGATGAGCCGACAGGCCTGGCTGTACCCCAGCAAAGTCCGCGACAAGGTTCTGGACGAGATACAAGAGAGGTGTGCAACAGAAAAACAGTCTTATATAGAGAGCGATCGATTAGTGTTACAATAATACACACAGGCTAAATTATTTCACAAAATAGAAACGTGCAATACTGTTCTGAAGAGTACTGATTTTCTTATTGTTAAAACCACTGTAATTTCATGCCTTTGATATTGTCTTCACTGCTATTTTCTGAGAAAAATTAATAATTTTCACTCCATCCAGGTGTAAAATGGGTACCTGGCTTCGGTTGGGGAGGTAAAAGGCGGTGGAAGGAGAAGGATGGGCTCTGCCTTCCAATGCTGGGTGCTAGACATACTGCCCCTACAGCCTGAAAAAGGCTATGGGACTATATCTAGGCCTTTTACTCTTTTCTTCTTTTTAAGTTGTGTATTTGTCTTCCCAGAGTGGTTAGCCTGGTTGGCTTACCTCGCATCCTGATCGACAAGAACGATGAGTTCCAGGTTGTTCAGTACGGCCCGAAGGGGCACTACCACGCGCACTGGGACTCCGGGAGCTGGGCCGAGAAGTACCCGTGCTGTCACCACGTCAAGACGGGCAGCGGCGAGCGCTGTAAGTCATGCAGGTAAGGAGTCTTCAAGGGTATAGCCATGCTAGTCTGGTTTCCAGACCTATTTTAGCTCCCGAGTCTAAAATAGGTCTGCATATTGGTGATTTAGCCAGGTCATGACTTCGGATTTTCAACCGTGAAACGTTACATTTAAGCCTCCTTACACCTTACCGATCCAGTCTTTGATTCTTGACAAAAATTAGATATTCTCTCTCTCTCTCTC